CATAATTTTTGGTATAGTAGTTGTGACTTATTCACACTATATACATTTGACTTCCGCAACATGTATAGATAAACAAAAAAGAAATTAGCATCCGCATATATAACAAAAATAAAATCAGACTTATTTTGAATCCACTGGCTTTAAATTCTAGATTCGCTTCTTTTCTTTATCATGATCAGATTTAACACCATATTTTCTTTGTTAGGGAATGGTGGTCCTATGGTTAACAGCTATAATAAAAGAAGCAAGGCCACATCGTTGCAAATTAGACTCAGGAAACTGTCAAAAACCAGACATTGGCCAACTTGCACTTCTACTTTCATCATTTGCATTAATGGCCATAGGAGCTGGTGGAATTAGGCCATGTTCATTAGCCTTTGGTGCTGACCAAGTTGACAATCCTGAGAATCCCAATAATGGACGAATCTTGCAAAGTTTCTTCAATTGGTATTTATCACGTAATCTTGATGTACTTGTTTTACTTACTCTATCTCAATTTATGCGATGCAGTTCATTACCATGAGTTTTTAAATATGTAATCCTTAGCGTAACTAGTAAAATTGTTGTCATGTGACCAGGAGGTCACAGATTCGAATCATGAAAATTAGGGCTGTCTAAGGGTAGGGTAATACCTGTACCCGTATGGGACCGTACTAGTACCCGTATCGGACTGTACTGCTACGGTGGGTGGGTAGGGGTGAGGGATTTGAGGCGAAGGGTAAGGTAATGGTAGGGTACCCGATATAGTACCCTTAGTACCGGTACCCCAAGTACCCTTAAGGTATCGTACTGTACCGCACTGGTACCCTACCGTTTTTTTTTGTTTAATTTAAAATATGGCCATTTTTTTATTTAATTTAAAATTACCCTTAAGTACCCGTAAGTACTGATAACCCATCCTTAAGTACCGCACCTTTAGGACCGGTAGGAGTACTGGTAGGGTACCCAAAAAAATACCCTTAACCCATACCCTTAAATACCATTAAAAAAAGTACCCTTAAGCAACTCTCCCCTTATCCTTACCCTTAACCTCCTTGTACCCTTAACCCTTCTTTTCCGAGTACCCTCCCCTTAGACAATCCTAGTGGAAACAACCTCTTGCAGAAATGTATGGTAAGACTGAGTACAATAGACTCTTGTGATCCGGCCCTTCCTCTGATCCCGCGCATAGCGGAAGCTTAGAAAAATTTGAAGATTCTATAGCAGAATTTGCGGCCAAAATTAAGAAGCTTTATTCTCGAGATTTAAAGTGCATCACATAAATTAAAACGGAGCGAGTACTTTTTATTTTCATTGTTTACTATGTGTTGGTGTTCGTTCTTTATTTCTTATTATTTACCGTGAATATTATTTTTGTTTTTTAATTCTTACAGGTATTATGCATCAGTGTGCATATCAGTATTGATTGCAGTGACAGTTATAGTGTATATTCAGACACAATTTGGTTGGGTGGTGGGTTTTGGAGTACCTGCAGGTCTTATGTTGTTAGCAACAATTTTTTTCCTTTTGGGTTTTGGACTTTTTATTAAGATGAAGGCAAAAAAGAGTTTGATTCCTGGTTTGGCTCAAGTTGTTGCTATGGCTTGGAAAAACAAACACCTCTCTCTGCCTCCTGTGGATTCAAATGGGTGGTATCATCGTGAGAAGGATTCAACATTTACTTTTCCAACACATAAACTAAGGTACTTTATTCGGATTTAAGCTATATATATTGAAAATATAAAAATATTTATACTACTATCTAGTGCTATTTGATCGGGTATATATAGCAGGTTATTACTCTTTCTTTAATTATCATACTAAAATCGCTATGAGAAATTACACGTTATAAGGTACATAAAGTATTCAGCATTCACGCAGGATTCGGCGAAGAGTCGCACCCCTAAAGAGTGTGATGTAGGCAGCCTATCTTAATGCAAGCATCAGTGACTATGAAAAATTACACGTTATTATATAAATTAACTTAATCTAATAGTGTAAATAATTTATACACTCTCAGTACACAAAATTGAAACTCATTCTATTCACATGCTATATTGACCAATTCTTTGTCATAAATCATGCTGATTTATACTTCTTGTGCTTAGAGTTATTGAATATTTTATGATTAAAAAAAATTAGCACTGCCTAGACGTAGAATGCCTAATATTAGGTTGTTACTTAACATGAATAACTAGATTTCTTGTTGGCGATGCCACCAAAGAACCTCTTGTCCTCTCACACAAGAACTTTAGCATAAGAAAAGGTTACAAATGTATTCTAAGTGGAACAGAGATGATTAAGGACAAACCGCTAAACACCACATTGTTGGGTAACGCCAACATCCTGCCTAAATCGCCCACGAGGGTGTTAGGGTAGACTAGGTCAGAGTCATGGTCGAACATGGCGCTTGCTTGGTGAGCTTTGGTTAAGAATAAAGTTGCGCCTTTATTATCAACATCTTTTGGCATGACGGTAAGCGCTTGATCCTAACAGGCAATAGCACTATAATTAATCAAACAAAGATCTTTATATAATACTCTCCTCTCTTACTGATGATTGAAAAATAATTTGTTAGTAGTTTGTTTTAATATTGAATGAACAAGCATATTGATAACCATTTTTTGGTCATATTTCATAGGTTTCTAAATAAGGCATGTATCATTAGAAACCCTGAGAAAGATTTGAATCCAAATGGAACAGCTTCAGATCAATGGAATCTTTGTACAGTTCAACAAGTAGAAGAATTAAAAGCCTTAATCAAAGTAATACCAATGTGGTCTACAGGAATTATGATAGCAGTAACACTAAGTCAACATGCATTTCCAGTATTACAAGCAAATACAATGGACAGACATTTGAATAGTCACTTTGAAATTCCAGCAGCTTCTTATGGTTTATTTGCGATTATTACATTGACAATATGGATAGCCATTTATGACCGAATCCTCGTCCCCTGGATGTCAAAATTCACCAAAAAACCTCGCAGATTGACTTTCAAGCAACGTATAGGGATCGGGTTGTTGTTTTCTTGTGCAGCACAAGCGGTAGCAGCATTAGTTGAAAGAGAAAGACGAGCACGAGCACATAGTGAAGGACTAGAGAAAAATCCGTTTTCACAAGTGAATATGTCAGCATTTTGGTTAGTGCCACAACATTGTTTAACTGGTCTAGCTGAGGCATTCAACGCGATTGGACAAATAGAATTTTACTATTCACAATTTCCTAAGAGTATGGCTAGTATTGGTGTTGCACTATTTTCACTAGGATTGGGATTTGGAAATTTGGTTGGAAGTCTAATTGTGGAAATTGTTGATCATGTTTCAAGTAAAGGAGGGAAAGTGAGTTGGGTATCAAATAACTTGAATTTAGGTCATTATGATTATTACTATTGGGTTCTTTGCTTGTTGAGTGTTGGAAATTTGTTCTACTTCATTGTGTGTGCTTGGGCTTATGGATCTGATGAAGATACAAGAATTTGGGAGGAAGATCAAGCTGAAAAGAAAGGAGAAATTGTCATGTTATAGACAATTTTTAGTATCAAAAGTTGTTGACATATACTCTGACGTAATGTAAAATTCTGGATACGTCACTACTTCATCCCTGTGTTCGAAATAGAAAATTTTCTGTATAAATAAACAAATCTGATATTTTGAATTTTGCACAACAATATTTTTATGGAACATTTTGAAGCTGATCTTTGTAATTGTACCTTGCTAATAAATTCTCCCTTAAAAGCTATGGGAAGCATATTTTCTTTATTTCCATGTTTCCATCATGATATTATTTTTTTGAACATTTTATTGGCCTATTTTTTACGTGTTCTTTGTATTAAAGATATTTTTCTTTGCCCACTAGAACACTTCCTTAGTCTGTTCTTATTTGAATTATACACTTTTCTTTAATCACCACCAAAGCGGGTGAACGAGAAGGGTGTGATTCATCTATCCTTAATCAAAGTTCTTTGGTTCGAGTTTGAACAAACTCTAGTAGAGAGCGTTTTCCCCTTAAAAAGACGCTACACGATTGTATTAATTGATACAGTGAGTTCTAGAAAATATTACTTCAATTTAAATGACACACTTTTCTTATTAGTTCGTTCAAAAAAGAATGACATATTTATGTATTTGGAAACAATTTAAATTTAAACTTTTCATTTTACCCTTAATAAGAAGATTTTATAGCCACACAAATGACATGGACTCATAAAGCTTTTGCCCCTTAATCTTTTAGGACCACATATTTCAAAAGTTTTCTTTTCTTTCTTAAATTTTCTGTTAAGTCAAACTAAATCATCTAAACTGAAACAGAGGGAGTATATTTTTAATGTGTGCACTTTTCTACTTCTCATTTCTCTCAGATCATCATAAGAAGGAGTACGAAATTCGTGTTGCGACTATAGGTTTGTGTCAAAACCCAAACAAGGGTATGTACACTAAACGCATGGGACAAATCAGCTCACTTATTCAAGTTAATTAGGCTGTAATTATCATTTGATAATAGTTTATTAATTTGAGTAACGTAATTAACTAAGTCAAAAGAGCTAGATATACAATGACAAATAACAAATTAGATTCGAAAAGTAAATTTAACTAGATGCCGTACGTAACTTTAACAATTTATTTTCATGACACTCCGTCTAGTTGTTACGTTGTACTAATTTAACCACACTTAGACAAACTTCCAAAGCCGAATATAAGACAGTGACTGATTACATCAACTTAGCTGAGATTACAAAGCAGTTACTCGATATTACGGACGTCTTAATGGACCCTACGCGGTGCAAATTACAAAATCTAAATTAGTCGAGTCAGTAGGTCTCAAATAACGAGTGTATAAAGCTATAAAAGATTATATTGACATCATAAGTCATGGCGCGTTATTGGCTATACATGGCATTTTTGTTGAATTTGTGGAAATGGAATTTTTCAACGTATAAAGGATCATCGTTTTATGCATAAGGCAAAAACAAGCTGTTAAAGAGGCCACTAAACAAAAACTACTAATCTCATTAGCTTTCTCTCTATCTTTCTCAACAAAAACCCATTTTTTCCTATCATTCTCAAGAGTTTTGCTTAGCAAAAAAGACTTTTTTTTAGTCATAGTTTTGTGGAAATGGAGAAAAAAGAAAGTTATTCAGATCACAAGAAAGGTGGCCTTAAAACAATGCCTTTTGTTATCGGTATGTAATTTCATTCTTTTAATTAGTTCTTTGTTATATTGAAAAAGAGAGGGGTAGCCTTGACGTAACTGGTAAACTTATCATGTGACAAGGAGATCACGGGTTCCAGCCGTGGAAACAGCCTTTTGCAGAAATGCAAGGTAAGGTTGTGTACAATAGAACCTTGTGGTCTTGCCCTCCCATGAACCCGCGCATAGCAGAAACTTAGTGCACCGGGCTGCCCTTTTTTATATCGAAAAAGAATGACGATTTTTTTATATTTGAAAATAATTTGACTTTAAACTTCTATTTATTCTTAATGTAGTGCTTTTTTATAGACATAGAAATGTCATGATAGGTTCAAGACCACGAACGGTGAAAGTCTTTCTTTCTTTGTTAATCCGTATCCAGTTAATAAATACCATCATATAAAATGAAATAGAAGGAGTACTACGCATTTGAATGGAAATGTTGAAACTGATAACAAGCAATTTTTCGACGTTAATGATTATGTTTGTGGTTTTGATGATAACAGCAAATGAGGCATTGGACAAGGTTGCAAGTGTAGGACTGCATGCAAATATGATATTGTACCTGAAAAATGAGTATCACTTAAGTAATGCTACAGGGGCAAGTATTCTTTTCTGGTGGAATGCCATATCCAATTTCACTCCCATTTTTGGAGCTTTTCTTTCTGATTCTTATTTGGGTCGTTATTATGTCATTGCTTTAGGGACATTCATTAGCCTTATCGTGAGTACACTATTCTCCTCTCTATTTTTCTAGTTCTTCGTCGTTTACATTGAAATTTATTACTAGACGCAGGGTTAGAACGGGTTCAACTGAACATATTATTTTTTATTTGAATTATTCATATAGTGCGAGTTTCTCATCCTTTACCATGTGGCGAGGGATCGAATACCACCTATATGTAATGTTCCCCTCCCCATCCCCGTAATAATAACAATTTTTTTAGAATGTCTATATATACAAAAAATATGTGTCTTACAATATTTGGTATCTATATAGCATTTGGATTATATTTGGTCGATTTTTTTTTAAAAAAGCATTTGAAGTTGAAATTGAAATAAAAGTATTTTGAAGTTGGAATTGTGTCTGAACGATAAATTTAACACTATATTTTCTCTGGTAGGGGATGGTGGCTCTGTGGTTAACAGCTATACTAAAAGAAGCAAGACCACATCCTTGCAAATTAGAATCAGAAAATTGTCAAAAACCAGACATTGGCCAGTTAGTATTTCTGTTTTCATCATTTGCATTAATGGCCATAGGAGCTGGTGGAATTAGGCCATGTTCATTAGCCTTTGGTGCTGACCAATTTGACAATCCTGAGAATCCCAATAATGGAAGAATCTTGCAAAGTTTCTTCAATTGGTAATTCTGTTGTCCTTGTTTCTCTTATTATTCATGTTATTCACTGTATCTTAATATGTTCGTCAGAATCGAAACCAGGATTTTAACATGACGGGGCACCACTATTTAGCTCAACCAGTATCCTCTAAAGGCTTTTAGTGTTCAGGGTGTCAACTTATTTATATAATCATTTTAAGGTATATGCATATACTTATACAAGATTTCTGCCGAAGTTTATGGGGTCCGGTGACCCCTCAACACTACACATAGGTCCGCCTTTGATGTTCGTCCTTTATTCTCTATTATTAATTATGAATATTCTCAGAATCTAGATAGATCTAGATAAAAGATAGAAAATGACAGAGTTGAAATCCGTGTACAATATGTAACAACTGAAATGTACCCCTAGTGTTAGATTAACCTTATTATGATATTGAGATTCATACAGTCGATCCAACTAGCTTGGTGTTAAGACATAGTTATTATTATTGTTATTTACTGTGAATATTATGTTTATATGCTATTTTCGCGACAGGTATTACGCATCAGTTGGGATATCAATACTGATTTCAGTGACAGTTATAGTGTATATTCAGACACAATTTGGTTGGGTGGTGGGTTTTGGAGTGCCTACAGGACTTATGTTTTTGGCAACTATTATGTTCCTTTTGGGTTCTGCACTTTTCATTAGGATAAAAGCAAACAAGAGTTTGCTTACTAGTTTTGCTCAAGTTGTTGTTGTGGCTTGGCAAAACAAACACCTTTCTCTGCCTCCTGTGGATTCTAATGGGTGGTATTATCATGAAAAGGATTCAAGATTTACTTTTCCAACCCATAAACTAAGGTACTTTCCTCGGATTTAAGTTATATACACTGACGTTGTAACAAAATTTTACAATTTATTTTTTGTCGTATTCCATAGGTTTCTAAATAAGGCGTGCATCGTTAGAAATCCCGAGGAAGATTTGAATCCAAATGGAACAGCTTCAAATCCGTGGAACCTTTGTACAATTCAACAAGTAGAAGAATTCAAAGCCTTGATCAAAGTTATCCCAATGTGGTCTACAGGAATTATGATAGCGGTAACACTAAGCCAACATGCATTTCCTGTGCTACAAGCAAATACAATGGACAGACATTTAGTAAAAGGTAGTAATTTTAAAATTCCAGCAGGTTCGTATGGTGCATTTGGGATTCTCACATTAACAATATGGATAGCCATCTATGACCGAATCCTCGTCCCCTGGATCTCAAAATTCACAGAAAAACCTCGCGGATTGACTTTCAAGCAACGTATGGGGATCGGGTTGTTACTTTCTTGTGCATCTCAGGGAGCTGCAGCGTTAGTGGAAAGAGAAAGACGAGCACGAGCCCTTAATGAAGGGCTCGCGAACCATCCCTTGTCACAAGTGGATATGTCAGCAATGTGGCTAGTACCGCAACATTGTTTAACTGGTCTAGCTGAGGCATTCAACGCGATTGGACAAATAGAATTTTACTATTCACAATTTCCTAAGAGTATGGCTAGTATTGGTGTTGCACTATTTTCACTAGGATTGGGATTTGGAAATTTGGTTGGAAGTCTAATTGTGGAAATTGTTGATCATGTTTCAAGTAAAGGAGGGAAAGTGAGTTGGGTATCAAATAACTTGAATTTAGGTCATTATGATTATTACTATTGGGTTCTTTGCTTGTTGAGTGTTGGAAATTTGTTCTACTTCATTGTGTGTGCTTGGGCTTATGGATCTGATGAAGATACAAGAATTTGGGAGGAAGATCAAGCTGCAAAGAAAGGAGAAATTGTCATGTTATAGATAATTTTTAGAAGTCGAATTGCTTAAATAGCTGGCCAGATTCACTGTTTATTTTTCTACCGGTATACGTCGATTATATATTGGTTATATACTGTTATACACTTATTCTACATATGTATACATTCGCTTGCTACTTTTAATTTAAATGGTTGAGTGAGCGACTATTATACTCGGTTGCAAATTTTGTTCAGTTTCACACTTTCATGCCTATGTTCGTTTTCTTGATCTCTTATGAAAAATGTGGAAATGTCATTGTAAAGTGACGCCTTTTTGTATTGACACAGATAAACTTTTATTTTCAATTTTAAGATCAGAGTCAAACAAAAGTCTATTTCTTCCCATATGTATAATTAACAGAAATTGTTAAAAGGTCTAAAGCATAAGTTTAGTAAAGAATTTGCTCTTAATTGAGGAGGTAAGGTAAACATGCTCCCTCCAGATTGCTAATATTCTTCTCTTCAATTAAGCTTTATAAGTCTTGAGTGAAGAATTTTAATGTCTTCAACTTGACTTCCGTACATATAATTAAACAATTTTTAAAAAATTATTAAATATTATATTGAGTGTATGTAATGGTACTTTACACTCCTTTATAGTTGTGGAGCTACCTCTACCCAGCTATAAAAAAAAATGTAGCTCTTAAAATATCTTGCTAATTGAACGGTACGAGAATTTTAATCTTTTTTAAGTTACTGAGTTTTAAATAAATAATTTGCACATATTCAATGAATTTCTTAAGACAAATATAGAATCTGGACCAAATTTACTAAGTTCGTCCGAACTTGAAATCTACACATTAACGTCGCCAGTAATTACTATATTGTTCTGATTAATTAACAGCATCGGGGTGGTGGCGCAGTTGGCTAGCGCGTAGGTCTCATAGCTAAAGAGTAATCCTGAGGTCGAGAGTTCGAGCCTCTCTCACCCCATTCATTATTTTTCTATTTCTTTCTTATATTCGCATTTCTGCTTCTTCTCGCTATGTGTATCGGAAGTCTGGTAAGATAAATGAAACCCTTGCCATACGCCTCCAAATATTAAGGGCCCCAAAATTATAAAATACTACTATATCACTATTATATTACATATCAGGGGATCGGGGAGATTGACGAGGATGTCACATACCGTATAAGGGTGGAGTGGATGAAGTGGAGGTTAGCATCGGGAGTCTTGTGTGACAAGAAAGTGTCACCGTTACTAAAAGGTAAGTTTTATAGAGCAGTGGTTAGGTCTGCTATGTTATATGGAACTGAATGTTGGCCGGTAAAGAACTCACACATCCAGAAGATGAAAGTAGCAGAGATGAGGATGTTGAGGTGGATGTGCGGGCATACAAGGATGGATAAGATTAGGAATGAAGATGTTCGAGAGAAGGTGGGCGTGACCCCATGGAGGACAAGATGTGGGAAGTAAAACTCAGATGGTTCGGGCACATTCAGAGGAGGAGCACTGATGCACTGGTGAGGAGGTGCGAGCGACTGGCTGTAGTGGGCACGCGGAGAGGTAGAGGGCGACCTAAGAAGTATTGGGGAGAGGTGATCAGACAGGACATGGCGCGACTTAGGATTACTGAGGACATGGCCCTTGACAGAGAATTATAGAGGTCGAGCATTAAGGTTGCAGGTTAGGAGCTTTACCTGCTAGTTTTTACTATACCAGTCATCTATTTCATATTTCGTATTGTGTATTTCATATTTCTTATAAAGCTATTATTTTATTATGCATTTTTATGGTACTAATATATCGTCTCCTGATGCTTTTTTTGAGCCGAGGGTCTCCTGGAAACAGCCTCTCTACCCTTCGGTGTAGGGGTAAGGTCTGCGTACATATTACCCTCCCCAGACCCCACTTGTAGGATTATACTGGGTCGTTATTGTTGTTGTTGTTAAACAAATATTATTATTAATAAAATAAATAAATTTTTACACTTTTTAAATTTGACTGAGATTGCATGATTGAGTAAGTAAAAACAATCACAAATTTTCTCTATCATTAAATTATACGGATATTTACCTTCTCATTAATTCTAACTTTTTTTCTCTTTTATGTACACTCTTTTTGTCCTTCATATGTTTAACAATTTCACTCTTTAATTTCAACTCAAATTATCTGAATTTAGCTATTTCTTTTTATCATAATTGATTGATCAATATATCAGAAAGCAAGTTCTTTTGTATCTTATCTTTTATAACTAAAAAATTCTTGAGGGCAATGGCACAAGATTCGAACTCGATGGATAATGTATCCACTTCTCTACGATTTTTCACTTAAATATCATACTCTTGTCCATGAGAGAGTTTGAAATTGTGATGTCAGTCTAACCTCATCATGTGTTGCGCTTTATCACTAGACCAAAGTCATGTGGGGTTCTTTTGTGACTCATTATAATATAAATGTTATGAAAATTTAAGGGGCTTTAATATATTTTGGCTTTAGATCACCAAATTCTTTGAGCTGCTCTTGAATTCAACATATAGTGTATATAAAAATAAAAAAAATAAAAATTAAAAACTTATCTACACAATATAATTTTTGGACGAAAAGTCGTCAAAAGTGGTTCCGCCACTCTAATTGAAAAATATTTTGACAATTGCTCTAACATATCCTCCCATTGCATGCTAATTTTTGACTTGGTTCGTAAGTTGTTCAAGGTCTTCCATTATGCCAAAGACTTGCTAGTGGGATCATATATATATATATATATATCATGACAAATTTGAACTTCAGCATTTCATATTAAGATTTTGAGTGCCAATTCAGCATCTTACACACTTTTGTGCCTTAAAAATATTCAAATGATGACATCCACTCAAATAGCACTCTTATCTTCTCTCTTTTCTCATGTTCCAAAAATGATAAATATTCTACCAATGAACCATATCTTTTCGTCCTTTATTTGGTGGTTAAAACTTAAAATCCACAAGACTTGGGCCCATTTTAACTCTCAAATTGCTTCAAGTTGTTGGTATTGTGACACTTTTCACAAGGGAAAATTCTTTTTTGGCTTTGGGAATTGAGAGATCTTTTACTTTCAAGATTTTATATTCTATCTAGAGTTGAGAACAAATCCAACAATCGATCCATGGATTCAACAGAATTCAGTGCTTCGAGATCAATCTTTATATATATGTAAAGACAAGTATATATAAAACTAGATATATATTTTAGAACTCATTTTCTTAAATCAGAGCCACAACTTATAAATTCTGAACCTGACACCATTGAATAGTAACTTTAGGCATGAAGAAACTATCCCATAGACAATTTTAAGGCATGCTACAAGAATACTACTAATTTTTTGGTTGTTAAATAATTATCCTAGTAGGGTTCTTGCCAGTCTGCAAGAATTTCTTGTCCCTTTACTTCAATCCTTTTATTTTGCCCACCCCTAAAAAAAACTACCTTGTAACTATTATTGGAATTTCTAGTAAAAAGAAGTGAATCACATCAAATTATTAAACTTTTCCACCTCTGCCCATCTTCTCATTCTTTGACATTCACCATTTATATTACTTTTCCCATAATATACTACAAGTAAATTTGTCATGTCACTCAAAAACAAGATACAAGTGGAAGTCAATAATACATTCATATGCTTTTATTTATGTTGTAACCATTATCTTTGGCTGTGATAAAGACTCATAAGAGTCTGGTACTTTTCCTCACAAAAGCTTTTGAAAATCTCATGGTACACAGTACATTTAGGAGTTACTAATAAAAATATATTGGATTTATCATGTGACAATTCCTGGCTAGGGAACACACAACATTGGCTTCTTATTCTGAGGGGCTGGGGTAGTGCTGGAGCTATTACCGAAAAATTATACTGCGTATTTTTTATGTATTTATATAACTAGTTGAATTCACTTTACATAAAGAAAATTTTTAATGTACTATTTTTTGAATCCCCTTGTTATTTCTGACTCCGCTACTAAGCTAAGGTAGTTCGCAATCACAAATTTATTGACAATGATACTAAAAAATGGACAGCTCGATGCATGAAATATCTCGCGCTCATGCAAGTCCGGGAAAGTGCTACACCCCGAGGGGTATGAGTAGGCAGCCTACCCTAAATCAAACATCAGTAGTTAATTCCACGGTTCGAACTCATGCCCTGTAGGTCACATGGAAACAACTTTATCGCTGCTCCAAAGCTCCCGTCATTACTTACAATGGTACTCTAGTAAGTAATAATTAGAATGCTATAAGACATTGGACCTCTATATTGCATATCTAACAATTGTAAAGCAAGTGAATGCACCGACAACAGATGCATTTTTAAGCAGTGTGATGGGCCAGCAACTTCAGTGAAAACATTCAAGACTTGAGAAAATGTTACATCCACGTAAATTTTATCACATTGTCTGAGAGAGATTTCCTTAGTCTAATACAAGTTAAAAGAGAGTTCTGAACACTCGCATAAATTTAAATTCTGGATCTGCTTCTTAGCTTGGTAGTAGAGAACATTCACTTTCTCAAGCTTATTGCTCGGCAGAGGTGGTTTTTTTATCGTGTTTCGTGGTTATCTTCGGCTTACACTATATATACATATACAAAGAAAAAATGTACGTACATAAATTATAATAATATCACACTTATTTTGAACTAGCTTAAAATTATGAATTTGCCTTTATTTCTATTGGTTGTTGGCTATAAGAAAAAGTGTTAGTTTTGTATTTTCTTATTCGTAGATTTCTGTTACTATTTGTTGTTTCTTCGGTTTGGTTTTTATATTGGATTGTCGGTGTTACGACTTCTTTTTCATTTTTCTAGAGCCGAGTCTACTGAAAACACCCTCTCTACTTTCCCATACCCCAGAGATTATACTAGGTTTATTGTTGTTGCCGCCTCTATTTCACGTTTAATTTAGAATTGGACAATTTTCCTTGGCAAATACTTGAAGTAGCATGGCGGCTATGTCCAAGTTCAGTTGATCAGCTGCTCAGTTCAAATAACTTTTCAATTGCTTTAACATTCCAATAGTGTCCTCCACTAGCAAT